CATTCGATTTTCATTTTCAATTTGACAACTCGTAAAATGCTGAGATTTGGCGGAGTCACAATATGCCTAAAACATGCTGGCCGAAAAATATTTTTACATTTTATGAAAGATCAATGTTTACTTGTATCACGATAAAAATACTAGAGTTATAGAGCGATCCACTTTTGAGATTTGAATTTTTATCTTTTGTCATAATTTTGCTCGTCACGAAATGTCAAATATAGTGAAAGTAGTGTAAATGTTCTCTAAATAAAATACTTCTTCTTGAAACTTTTAATATGTTAGGTTATTCCTCAGATGTGTATCTAGCAGCATGTAAAAGGATTTAATTTTTTGCGCATTTTTAAAAGAGATACAAAGCCTCAAATTTCATTCAAATTACGTGAAATTACCAGAAAGTGTCCAAAGACTTAATTTTTGCCCGAAAATTGACCCCCCCTTGGACTTAGCGAATTTGTGACGACATTCAAAATAAAATGCATTTTAATACTACCAGTAGGAAAGGCTTTCTGTACATAAAGTTTGAAAGAAATCTGAGACCCCATCCAATTTGGCCTGGTGATTATTAGGGACACAGCCTCTTAAGCTCACAGTTAATCCCCAGCTTGCAGTGGACCAGTACCYGTTACCCAGGATAGAAGATGTGTTCGCTTCGTTAGCAGATGGAGAAAAGTTCACAAAGATCGATTTGAGGCAAGCCTACCTAAACATGGAGATGGAGGACAACTCAAAGAAGTATTTAACTGTTAATACGCTCAAGGGTCTATACCAGTTCAACCGGATGTTGTTTGGAATAGCGTCTGCACCAGCAATATGGCAGAGGACTATGGAACAGATTCTGCAAGGAATACCATCAGTCCAGTGCATCCTAGATGACATGATAGTAACTGGTAAGGACAATACCGAACATTTTAACAATCTGGAAAGTGTATTGAGTCGTCTGCAACAGTACCAACTCAAGGTCAACCTAGACAAATGCCAGTTCTTCCAAGATGAGATCGAATACTGTGGACACAAGATAGACAAGCACGGCATACACGGCAGAAGAAAAGATGCGTGATACTCCAGCACCAAAGAATGTCACTCAGCTTCGSGCATTCATTGGCCTCGTAAATTATTGCCACAGATTTCTACCAGACCTAGCCTCCTAGCTACTGGAACAAGGTAAAGCATGGCAGTGGACGAAAGCATGTGACAAAGCCTTCGAGAAGGTAAAAGAGATGGTCAAGTCAGATTTGGTATTGTGTCATCATGATTCCAAGAAGCCTATCCGCTTAGCATGCGACGCGTCACCGTATGGAGTCGGCGCAGTTCTGTCCCATATCATCGATGGACAAGAAAGACCAATAGCATTCGCTTCTCGATTCCACACTTACCTTTACGGAAGACAGTTTACGTTGGTTACGGATTATCAACCACTAGTAACCATCTATAGCCCAAACAAAGGCATACCAGTGACCACAGCTACAAGACTACGGCGATACGTTATGTTTCTATCAGGCTATACTTACGACATAGAGTATAGGAACACTAAGCGACACACTAACGCTGACGCCCTTTCAAGACTACCGTTCTAAGTAACCCCCGAGGTTCAAAAGGAAGAAGTTGTTGACATTTTCCATTTAAGTCAGTTTGAACAGTTACCAGTGACAAGCGCAACAATCAGACGAGAGACAACAAGACACAAGACCTTAAGTAGAGTCTATGAACAGACCATGTCTGGATGGTCAACTAAGCCAGAAGACAAGGTACTACTGGCGTACTACAATCGTCGAGATGAAATCACAACGTATCAGGGATGTCTCATGTGGGGAATACGAGTAATCATTCCAGACACCCTAAGGAAACAAGTATTGGAGGTCATCCATTCGACTCACCTAGGCGTAGTGAAAATGAAAGCCCTCGCTAGAAGTCACATCTGGTGGCCASGAATCGACTCCGAAATTGAACAGATAACCAAAACCTGCTCTGGTTGTAACAAAGTACGAAACAACCCAACAAAGGTACCCATCAACACGTGGGAATGGCCAAGTTCACCTTGCGAACGCATCCATATCGATTTTGCTGGACCATTTATGAACAAACAGTTTTTGATTATTGTCGACGCACACTCCAAATGGCCAGAGGTGTTCCCAATGAACAAGATCACAGCAACTAACAAGCACTATTGAGGTGCTACGCTCAGTATTCGCAAGAAACAGCGTACCACAGCAGCTTGTTTCCGACAACGGACCGCAATTCACGTCAGAGGAATTTCAATCATTTATGAAGAGCAATGGAATTCAGCATTTTAGATCAGCACCGTTCCATCCTGCAACGAATGGACAAGCAGAAAGATTCGTGCAAACCTTCAAACAGAGTATGAGGGCAATGAAATCAGAATCAGTCTCTTTAAAAAGGAAGATAGCAATTTTCCTACTGATGTACCGCAACACACCTCATGCTATACCACTAACGAAACACCTGCCAAAATGTTCCTTGGTCGAAACATACGTTCACTTCTGGATTTGATGAAGCCAGATGTAAAAAGCACAGTGCAGCAGAAACAAATGAAGAAAGCACTCGAGAAGAAGACACCTATACGCTTGTTTGATRATGGACAGCCAGTGACAGTTCGAGACTACAGAGGACAAGACAAGTGGGTTAATGGAACCATCAACACACAAGTAGGACCACTGATGTATGAAGTCAAAATAGACGCTGGAAGTTATTGGAGAAGGCACACAGACCAAATCCAAGAAAGGAAGCATGATGAAAATCAAAGCGACCCTCAACCAAGACCAGCAGAAGATGTCTGCCCAGCAGCAGTAGAACAGCCATCAGTCAGCACAGCCCAGACAAGCAAGACAGTTACCCCCGCTAAGAGCAACATGGCGCAAAAAGGACAAGGCAAAGGACATCGATACCCAACAAGGCACAGAAGCCCACCAAAACGTTATATGTATGAACAATATTAGGACAGTCATAAGAGACATGAACATTCAGAGACATTATTATTGAGTTATCTTTTCTATCACAGTGATTCATAACTAAGGGAGGAAATGTTAGATTTGCATTGATTGACACCTGTAACTGTATATGACAATTGCATAATAAAACACAAATACACCACATCCGCTGACTGAAGAACAAATGACTGGGTGCGAAGGAAAAATCACCAAAAGTGAATGTTATAAGGCTTTACTCACTATGAAAAACGGTAAGACTCCCGGTAATGATGGTTTGAATGCAGAATTCTACAAATGTTTTTGGCCAGTTCTCGGTAAATTAGTAGTCAATAGTTTGAACGAAGCATACAAGAAAGGAGAACTCTTCACATCGCAGAAGCAAGCTATACTAAAGCTCATAGAAAAAAATGGCAAAGAGACAAAACCTTCCGAGGAAATTGTAGACCTATTTCATTGATAAATGTAGGCGTGAAGATCGCTACGAAAGCTCTTGCTAAACGATTAGAGCCTGTTCTGCCTCATATTATTCACAGATATCAGAATGCCTATGTGAAAGGCAGACTAATTCACGATGGCGTAAGATTAATCGATGATCTAATGCCGTATACAGAAGAACATAATCTATCGGGTTTAATGTTAGCTATTGATTTTGAAAAAGTTTTTGACACCCTAAAGTGGAGCTTTCTGAGGAAATCGCTTAGAACTTTTAATTTTGGAAATTCATTCATTAGATGGGTGGACACTATGGACATGGACATGGACATGGACATGGACATGGACATGGACATAGACATGGACATGGACATGCTACAGGAGTTTTCGGAATTCAAAGAGGCGTTAGACAGGGCGAACCACTTTCTCCTTACTTGTTCATAATTGCTCTTGAACTATTGGCAGTTACCATTAGAGGTGATCATTATGTGAGAGGCTTTATCATCAATCATCGACATATCAAACTCAACTTATTTGCAGATGATTTAACCTCTTTTTTGGCGGATAACGATTCTTATAGCAGGCTGATGGTAATTCTGCTAAGTTTTGGAAAGTGCTCAGGTCTTAAATTAAACAAAAGTAAACTAGAAGCGTTACATCTTGGCGGAAAGTCATCAACTAAAATGAACATCGACATAAAGCGCGTGGATCAACCCATARAAATTCTGGGAATCTATTTCACTTACGACCAGAATAAAGTATTAGAACTCAACCTGAAATCAATAATCAAATCCTTAAAAAAGACGTTCAATATATGGAAATGGAGAAACTTAACGATAATTGGAAAAATTCAAATTATCAAAACCGTCTAAGTTTCTGTATCGAGCATCTCTTGTTCTCAATTCAAAAGAAATAATAAACGTAGCTAATAGTATAATATTTGACTTTATTTGGAAAGGAAAAGACAATGTCAAACGGAAAGCCTTGATTGAGGATTATCAGGAAGGAGGTCTAAAAATGTTAGATTTACTTAACTTGGTTTGGTCTGATTAACGCGATTCCTCCTGAATGGCGAAAAGGGATGTTTCAACAGGGAGACGTAATACGCATGGCTGTTTATGACTCCAAAAGTCTGGGAGTTTTTATAAATTCGGTCAAAACTGACATAACCAAAGTTATTTCCAAAGATTTTTATAAAGAATTCGCTTCGAAACTATTTGCGGAGCCTACAGCTCAAGAGAGATACAATGCAATTTACTCAAATTGTTCTCTTGATTGAGAAAAAATCTATGCTTTGCCTTTCCAAGTTGCTTTAAACACTCGGACAAGGGAATTTCAATTCAAGATCCTAAATAGGATTTTGTACACAAATATTCAGTTTGGTTATTGTGAATCAGCATCATGTACTTTCGGATGTGGAGAAGATGAAACGCTCGAGCATTTATTGTGTTAGTGCTGATACACCCAGCTGTTTTGGTTAGAAGTAATAAAATGGCTAGCCGAATACAATATTGTGATGGATCTTTCAGAGCCCAGGAATATTTTATTCGTCTTATACAATATAGAAATAACTTTTATTTAATCAATCATCTTATATTAATAGGAAAACAAAGTATAGTGTATTGTAAAACAAAAAATCTCAGACCTGAATTAAATATCTTTATAACTATAGTTAAAAATACCAAAAAAAAAAAGAAAAACGAATAGCCCAAGTTAGGAATAAGCTTACTGTTTATTTAAAAAAGTGGGAGAAAATTAATTAATGAAACCTGCTTTTATGCTGACTAAAAATAACTTAATTTCTTATGTGCCGAGTTCTAATAATTATTAATATCTAAATAGATTGTTAATTCTATATCTCTGCCTAGCTATGACTTACTAGTGTTCTCTTGTTTTGTATTGTTATATTTATAAAAATGACAAATAATAAATTAAAATGTTAAAAAAAAAACCTCTCAACAACACAAATTTAAGAACATTTGTATAATCATTTATATGATAATTGCTCGAACAGCTTAACAAGCAGTTGAATATTTGGTGTAAAAGAATTGGTCTTCACTCGGTGACAGCTAGAAGGTTAATGACTCCCGCGAGTGTTAGACCACGTGAATAACGCATCGCATTATAGGGGGGTATGCCCTATTCCTCAATCACTTTACCCCGTCACGGGTTATATAATTAATTACAATATGAATGAAATATCAAAAACTTCTATAAGACATAAAAACCCTATTTGCAAGCAAATATTTCCTATTTCATTTATTAATTAAATAAATTATCTGTAGAAAGACATAAAATTATTGAATGAATGTCTTCTTTGTTTTGCCGATGAGACCCACGACAGGAGGCCAACAAAGCTGTATTTTTCTTGAACGAAAAGCATGCGATAGTTGCTTAAAAACAACCGAATTTTTAATGATTTACAAAGGTAAATAAAGGACGAATATTTATTGTCGTAATATGCTCTTCGTGGTATATTTCCTTCAGCATTAAACTAAATTAAGCTTATCTATAGAAATGTTAGAAGTTTTGAGAGAAAGACTTTGATTTGTCGATTCGTCGAAAAAAATCCTTGTCATAAATAATAATAATGTACGCATTGCTTACTAAAATAAACACACCTGAATTCTTGAAGAACACTTCTTGTTCCACCTTTAACTACATGGAAGTTGTTTTTATTGGCTGTTGGTCTATAATTTGTCCTAAGGCTATTTTTCTGTGCATTTGAGAGCGCATTTGCGAGTAGTTTTGCTTTGACATCAAGTGGGCTTCCTGTGTTGTGTACGCCGCACGTACGGACGGATGTAACGTCAGCCAAGCCATGAAAAATCACCTCGATGGTTTACCATTTTTTGTTAAGTATGATGCTTCGCTCGCGCGGGAGCTCCGCTACAAATAAAACAAAATAGGAAATAGACTAACCTTTATCTTCACATTGTGGCGAATTCTTTTCTTCCATGATTTCTTCCATAATTTTTGTTATATGTAATGCGCTCCGCGCTGGAGCTCCGCTATTAACAAATATGCAATTTTGTACTTCATTACAGCTGATTTAGTTAGTAATAAAAGTTGGAATGGGTATAAATATATTACGAGAAGTCCAACAACGAAAACGAAAAAAAAAAGTTCATTTGACGAATATAATCCCGGTACTCTTGTTATTGCAGTGATCCCATTCGAATTATGTGGCTGTTACATGGTGTGCAAGGAAAGTCAAACAGCAAACCTAGTTACTGTGTTCCAATTGACTTTAAATCTATAAATTGAAGAATAAAGAAAAAAGCAAAGGAAAGGACAGAAACAAAAAATTAAAACAAACAAAAAAGAAATCAAAAGTGGTAAAATAACGAAGAATAAAAAAGAAACAATGGTAAAAACAAACAAAAACAACCAAAAGCAAAAAAAAATAAACAAAATAAATAAGGATATATCATATGGTATCGAGGATTTCCAATAACAAAGTGCAGTTGGAAAGCGTGTTCATTGCGGTTCGTAGCACATTGATCACGTAAAGTGAATATGTTTATCTTCTATATTCCCTTGTGAATATTTTAGTCGTATGACATTTAATTATTAATTTACGCTAAGCATACAAACTACTGTGATACTGAATGAATTCGTAGCTAAGGCCATAGAAGAATTATTATCCAATAGATGCGCGTCAGAAATTTCGTCACGCCCATATTGTTGTAACCCATTTTCTGTTGTAGTAGGGCGCAAGTTGCGTCTAGTTTTAGATATTAGTAGATATGTGAATCCATTTGTTAAGCCCTTTAAGTTCAAATACGAAG